CTGACGGAGCGCTCGACGCCGCTCCTCTCACAGACGACGGCCTTCGGTCTTTGTCTCGTCGCAGGTCTGACCTTTGCCACTGAGAGGAATCTGCTTAAGGCTTTTAAGGCTTCTTTTTTTTTTTAAACACTCAAACGGTGAGACGTGAGAAACTGTCACTTCTCCTTCTGCAGCTCTGGGCTGATGTGCACACATGTACATCTGTGCATGTACGTTATGTACAGCACAGAGTAGGTGTGGGTGTGACTGACAAAGGCAGCGCTGGATTCTCTCTCTCTCTCTCTCTCTCTCTGTGCTTTAACCTGCACATCACCGTACAAGAACAGTGAATGAAAGGACGTCAGTTTTTGCCCGTGATTAAAAAAAAAAAAATTCCAATTTAAATTCACGTTGGTTGTCGACTGAAGACCACAATGTAAACTTAATTATTTAATTTAATTAGATGAAAAATATCACCCAGCTCATTACTGCCACCTACAGGGCTGGTGAGTCTGCACTTATCAAGCGGGTGAAACAGAATTTATGTAAATGGGAAAGGTACCGATTATTTATTCAATAGTTCTAAATAAACACGTTAAAGTCCGTCCCTGTTTTTATATATATATATATATATGTATATATGTATGTATATATTATTTTATGCTAACACATTTCTTCATATTAATGTTTTGTTGAGTGCTAGTTCGTTCGTTTTTTGTTGTTTGTGAAAATCATCAGCATTGGCTCTGGGTGATACTTAAATAAAACAGTAATATTGTTCCATAATTTCATTGTAAATACATATTTCATAATAGTTGCACTCACAGGTCAGTTGACCTCAGTTTCAGAACTGAATTGTGACCGAACGTCATTCATGAAATTCACTTGTCGGACGAAGAACGCCTCGGTCGTTCTCTGTTCTCTGTTCTCTGCTGTGTTTGCTCTGGTGCTGAAGCTTCTGTGATTTTTCTATGGTCTGTGAAATATTAATGTTAGGTTTCAGCTCTCACAGACCAGATGCTGCATTGCACTTGTGTGTATGTGTGTGTGTGAGATGCTGCAGAGTGAGTTCCACAGAATCTCCGCCGTGATCTTTGAGGTTTGACCAGGAAACGACGTTCTGCCCTCTGTTAAAGTCAGACTGATGTACGGGGGACGTGAACACATGTCCATGTGGTGACGGTCGGGCCGGACGACATTTCCCTGTGGAGCGCTTTGAAAAAGAAATATTTACATACAAGTGCCTGTAAATGTTGCCTGAGTGCTGGGAAGTAGCCGAACAATTTAGGTTTTTATTTAGTTTTTTTTTTTTTTGGTTTCACATCTGTTCTGGCAGCAAAAACAAATACACACAGGTGTGTGTGAAAGTGTGTGTGTGTGTGCGCGAGAGCCGTGGGCACATCTGGGCACCACTGAGTTCAAACTGGCTCCAGAGCAGTGAAGCAGAGCAGCAGTCGACTCTGTTTCTTCAACACCTACTCACTTTTACTTTTTTTTTGTTGTTGTTGTTTGTTTTTTTTTATTATTTTATTTTCACCAGTGATTAATCTTTACGTTCTCCTCAACAGGTATCAGAACATGGGGAACCTACTGAAAGTTTTGACGTGCACAGATCTGGAACAGGAGCCCAATTTTTTCCTGGATTTTGAGAGTGAGTTTTTTTTTTTTTTTTTTTAACCCACAGTAATCGCTTCCTCTTTGCTGATATTGATGAGACGACCAATCTCAGCGTTCTATTATCAGCTTTAAAAACTCTGTGTGTCTGTCTGTCTGTTACACCGTGTTCCTCCCAGCGGCTACAGGAATCAAATCCAAACCCAACGGCTCAAGTTGCAGCAGAGCCCCCCCCCCTTCCTCTAACGTCCCCCCCTCACCCCTCCTTAAATATAAAACGCTGAAGTTCAGCTGCCTAAGGCCCCTCAACATGGCTCCATCCCACACTGTACTGTTCTGGTTGGTGATATTTCTTCTTTTTTCCACAGCCTTAAAAATAACAATGACAGTGTTTTAAATGTAAGTTTCCATAAACGCGACACTTTGTGAAGATTTTATCTAATCAAAAAAAACCTGAAATATATTTTGTGAAGATTTTATCTACTCAAAAAAAAACCAAAATATTTTTTTTGTGAAGATTTTATCTACTCAAAAAAAATTTTTTTAATTTTTTTTGTCTGAATAAAAATGAAATTCTTCTAAAATAACGCAGCACACTAATACCATCCAGCAGCAGCGAACGCCGGCCAAGTTTTGTTTCCTCTGTTTTGGGAGCAGGACTTCATACAGTCAGCCCACTTGGCAAGGTGTCGTAGCTGCAGGTGGTGGGAAACAGGTTCACTGTTCGCTGCCGATGTTCTGCACTGCCACTTCTCCGAAGGCAAAACAAACCCCGACGATAGAACTGTCTCTGAACACGGAGCTGGTACAAAACAAAACCTCGCAGCTCGAGTTTCCGATGCTGGAAATAACCCTTTTCCTGCTACAGAGTCTGTCCAAGTGCAACGATTGACCACGAGGCCCGTCTTTGGAAACGTCTGTTGGGAACGGCCGACCTCCGCAATCGATATAAGATATGAGAACGTTTTTTATTAAACTGAACGATATGAAAAAAGGCGTTATAGAGTGTCGTCACACTGCTCTCCACCGGGGGCAACATCGCTGACATGGTTGCCCCCGAAGTGGCAGTTCTAACTGGACGATTATTTAGATGTAACTGTAATTGATTGTCATTTAGTCAACTTACTAAGACAAATTAACTTTTTTAACCTTCTGCCGGCCACACAAAATAACCCGGCGCTCTGCATTCGGGCCACGGGCCTCGAGTTTGTTTTGATGCATTTAATCCTGGTCGGATGCGGATGATTTATTCCTGATTGGTTCTTCTGTACGTCTGCCACAGATGCCCAGCCCACAGACGCCGAGCGAGAGGTGTGGGAGCAGGTCGACATCGTGCTGAAGGACGCCAAGGGGATTCTGGACGAGCTGCAGGCGTACAAGGGAGCCGGCCAGGAGATCAGAGAGGTAACATCCACTTATTTTTTTTTTTTTTGAAAGAGTCTGACTGGCAGCACAGAGCTCTAAAATGTGAAAAAAAAAAAACTCCAGCAGGAACAGTAGATCACTCAGTGCAGCTCTGGGTCTGTTGATAGGAGGTCAGATCAAGAGTTCAGGGCTTATGGGTAGTGCCGCTGTTTCCACATTGATTAACAAGTCAAATGAATTGCCTTCAAAAGATAAAACTGCTGGGAATGATTTGTGAGGATTGTGGAAGTAATATCGTTTTTTTTTCTCTCTCAGTATTGACCACAAACCTGACACCAGACTTTCTCTTCTCATAAATTTCCAACTGAAGAAATTTTAACATCACTATTTTCGGTTTCATACTGACAGGGTGTAAATGGCAGTGGTTTTGTGAATAACAGGGTTCAGACAAAATGTCTTCTGCCTGGTCAAAAAAAAACAGCACATGATGAAACATTTATGGCACACTGGGAGCACCGAGTGAAAATGTTTTCATTTCCTCCGACTGGAAAGCGGTGGAACTTTCTGTCTTTTAAAAATAGTTTCCAATAACATTGTCAGAATTGGGGTTCAGTTTGTACCGAGACTCTGCAGTTCAAACATTGACTTTGCCGTGTGTCGCCTGACTTTAAAAATGCATTGGG